TAGTTACCTAGGCGTAGAGCAAAAGGAGACTGTGTTAATCTAGGATATTAGATATTCTTAAAAGGTTCTAAGGATTTCACTCAAATCCGTTATGCACGCAAAGAAGTGACAAACATGCTCACTTATTATCGTGTTGTATATTATTGCCTGCGGTTTCAATCGCGTATGTATTACATTATACTCTGCAACCAGTTAAGTCGGGGTAATACCACATTGTTTGTGAAAGCATATAAGGGAGCTATTTCTTGCATAAAAAATATGTAATTGAAAATCATCTAGTCGTCCTAAAGTAAATAACAAATAAAAATTAAGAGAGCACAAAAAATTAAGTAGCAATATAGAGCTGATTTCTATTAAATTAAATGTTATATATTATATAAGGAAAAATGTAGGTATACGTACAACTGCTTATAATGTAGATTAGAAAATCAATAAATTACCAAAACTTATTTAATTATTTAATGTTTGAAAAGATTCTCGTTCCTTATTCTACCCGTGTAAATTAGCTTTAAATGGAAGTTGATATAAATACAAATATTCCGACAAAAGTTCAAAATAACCTACTTTATGACTTCATGTTCTTTATAAAAATAAATATTGATGTATAAAGGCACAAGTCTAATAAATAATCAGACAAGCAGGTGACATCGTCTCGTACGTTTAAAAGCTTTTTTATATAGGTATTTAAATTATTATTTTTAAATGAAAACTGTGGAAAGGGAGAATAAAGAAAATATCTTCTATATTAGAATGATGTTTGTTTATTATAAAAAACAAGGAAAAAGTTAATAGGCATTTCGCTGGTATCATGAAACCAATAGGTATCGCGATTATTGCCGGTGAATAGGTGTGTTATATTCGTTAGCCGTGACACATTATTAACAAATAAAGCTTGCCGCTGCCATTGTTGGCGGCAGCGTATCAAATCGAGGTTTCTTGCGTGAAACGCGCTGAGCGTCCTGCTGTATCGCATACCGATAAAGGTTACATTTAAAGGTTTTTGGTTTCGGGTACCCAATATTAATTCGATGCTCGTTAGTCCACTGGATCGGGTGATGTTTTAAAATTTTAATCACCATTTGTAGATTCATAACACTTCAGTTATTATTTTTTTAAATTTTTAAACGTCATAAAATAAAACAGCTAATATTTAAATGTGTGTAAATGATTTAAGGAATAAAAAAAATGCTAACGAAATAAGGGATTTGTGTGAAATTTTATGTTGGTAGTGTGACTGCACGTCGTTAACGTTGCTGAAAAGAAAGAGGTTAAGTTTAGCTCGTAATTATTTTTATGTTACGTTGGTTCACGATTGAAAGCGACTCTTATAAGGTTTTCCAGAAAAATACATTACATTCGAAATAACCGTGATAATTTTAGTTTTACGTCTTCATTACAAAAATTACATTTTAAGCGCTTATGGCTTGTAGGTAAAACATTTCTTGGAAATAATAAGCTACTAATGTTAAAATAATTTTATATTTTAAATGCTTACTACATACATAAAAAAAATGTTTCGTCTCTTGTATTACAAAGCTATGAAAATAAAACGTTTTATCGTTAATTTTCTTTCCAAAAAATATTTTTTCTTTTAAAAGCAATTAGCAAATTTACTTATGTAGTGCGTGCTTGTCTTGAATTAGTGATTTGAATTTATAAATTATAGTTTTAATTATAAAATGTATCGAGTTGTTTCATAATGAATAAATACTTACGGTGATTATTTTCATAAAAATAGGCAGTGATAGCGATCATGCAACACCTAGTGTTTTGCAGCGTCTAGGCGCTGAGCTGTAGCTGTGTGGCCGCGATACCATCGCTCGTGACCGCTGACCACGACTGTTTCTTCATTTCGATGGCTTCATTTTAACCTGCTCTTCCAGTAATTTAGAATTCGTAGATGAATTAATTTTGGAATGCGTGAAATATAACAATAATACTATATTTTTATGCTGTCTAGAAACCTTTTTACTTTAAACAAATATGCTAATATTACTTAGGTTTAATAATAGTTTGTCATTTTTTGCCATCCTAATAAAATATTTTAATGTAATTTTTGTTATAAGCATTTTATTTTTATTTAGGTTTGGAATGAAATAAAATACATTATACTTATATGCTATCATTGACTAGGATTTAGTAAAGCATTACGTACACTGTGCACAATGCTTTAATATCTTAAGGAAGGTACACACTAATAAGACAATAATAGTTTCAATAGAAATAAAGCTCAAGTTCAAGTTTTAAGTCATACCTATGGTTCAACTTTGTTTTAAATTTATAAAATAATTCAGGGTCGTTTGATCGAGATAGGAGTGAATCGTGGAATCGAGACCACACGGAGATGTCTCACTCGGGAGTCGAACTCACTATCTAGGATCTCGACCCCTTACCGGTTTTAATTATCTAAGTAGAATTTGTTTGAAACTAAAGTTTGTCTCGTAAAGACAGATCCTTAATCGAACTCCACTCTTCGTTACTTATCTTTCAATAAGTACTTACAACACATATGAATATTGAATTAATTTTAATTCTTTAACGATATAGGGGATTGTAAAACTTATACCATAAATTATATTATTACATTTCAAAAACACTTAGTGGAAAAAAAGCCAAATGTGATGTTCCAGTTAATTGTAGATAATGTAGATTAAATGTTTTAACACCTGCCTCCAAGAGTATGAAATGTTACCGGGTTATTGACTTTGTGTAAGAAATTGTTAATATTTGGTCACTGGTGAGCTTATTAAAATAATTTCAACTAGAAAGTAAGAACTTTGAATAGTAGATAATGAATCAGTATTATGTCTTTATTTAATAAACATATTATTGTGCATAGTAGCTTTATGCAAATTTATTATAATAATCAATTAATTTTGAAGAGCTACTTTAGATAAATATAAAACAAAATAATATATAGGTTTACTTTTGATGTAGAGCATGTGACCCAATAAAAACAGCAAAGAGATATTTTGTGACGATAATTTACTATTATTTATTACAAAATAATATATGAACGGCGCCATATTCGCTATTATGAAACCAAATATTTTTCTTGAAATTCTTTTGAATATTATGGTTTGAAACAATATCTGTTGATTCACTATTTATCAGATATTTAATTTGTATATTTATACTTATTTCATTATAATATTAATAATGCAATAATTATAATAGAACATATGAAGCTGATTTAATTTATGGGAATAAATAAAATATAAGCGTACGCATTACCTTTTGTTTAAGACGACTACCAAACCTGTGAATTTGTGTACTAGCATTTCCCGCGGCTCCGCCAAAAAACAATTACAAAATCAGATGACCAAAAACCAAATAAAATAGCGCTATTGTTATTTTTGTCAAGATATGCTATTTTTAATAGTTTTATCCTTATAAAGTAACTTAACTTTGCTAAAATATATATAGTATCGTCGTGGTTTTATTCTAACCAGTTTTTGTATTTTTCTCAGAAATTAGATATTTCCCCGCGGTAAAAAGTATAATAATAATAATAATTTATTTATTATAACACAACAACAATAAAAACTATAAATTAAATAACAATATACATTTACATTTGAAATAAAAATTAACATATAATTAATTAATTAATTTAAAAATTATTTATTTCAAATCAAATCAAAATTTCAATTTTGTGGTTGAGATCCCCTTTTAAGCAAATAATTTGCCTGTATTAGGAGAAAGTAGTATCCTATATGTTGACCCGGATAACCAGCTATGATCATACCAAATTTCATCGTAATCCCTCCAGTAGCTTTTCTGTGATGCGGTAACAGACAGACAAACAGACAGACAAAAATTCTAAAAACTATAGTTTCGGCATCTGTATCGATAATAATCTCTATTTCAATAAGATTTTCCAAAAAAAAATATGTACAGATTCGACTTAGAATTTTATTATAAGTATAGATTAATTAAATAATAGGAATCGAGGATTTACAGGATTTATTTATTTTAATAAACTTTGAGATTTCTTTTATCTAATTGACATTATAAACGTTCTTTGAGCACAATAAACCCTAGAGGAGAGCGACCAAAAACTGCAAGCATTTTATAAAGGCTGATTGTTTTAATATTACGTCATATTTGTGGAGTGATAAATAGTTTATTACAAAGTAGTGGCGTCTTTATTGTAGTAAATTTATATTTTTCAGTGACGAAGAAAGTGGTATAAATGGGGGAGAACAAATTAGTGGCGTAATCTATCGTACAGTAAGCAACGGACAGTAAAAATGAGGATATAGGTACTCGGTAAAGTTTTTCAATTTAATAAAATCTAAGCGTCCAATATTTTATCACAGGACTTGTTTAATATATATACTTAATTAATATCAGTATATAAGTTCATTAATTTTAATATTATATACATATTTTAATATTTATTGAAAGCGCAGTATTACAGAAGGGCAAGGCGCAAGCTTTTATGAGCGACTGACGTTCTGTACAGAAATATACTGACTGACTGACTATATTTTTTGTGATTATAATAATATTCTTTATCTGTATACTAAATCAGATTTTAGAAAGTACTTGCAAGATGTACCGATTTTTTACAACTTTAATGCCTCACAAGATTTGCATAACTGACGATCGTAAAGCTTATTTTTAATTAATAGAGTGCCCGAAAATCCAATTTCAGGTTTTAGAAAGTAGTTGCGAGGTATATGGTTTTTTTTTCAAAATTAAAGCTACCCACGCGCCAAACGCTAAAAAAACCAGCTGACTGACGGCGGGCTATTTCTCTATCCCACCAAAGGGACGTAATATATTATAAAATCAGCCTTTACAAAATGCTTGTAAGTAGTCTTTGGTCGCTCGCCTCTCGGGCTATAAGTAGAAAGATCCCTTTTAATTACAAGTTCTCGGACACGTTTGGGTACTGCATTGATATATGTATTATCGCTATGTACAGTTTTCCATTTTATACATAAATACATTAAAATTATAAAATTCATTAACATCTTGATTAATTTTCTCAGGTTATATGGTTCAAAGCGATGTGCGAGGTGTAACACGCCCATCTCGGCGTCTGAGTTAGTGATGCGCGCTCGAGACCTGGTGTTCCACGTGCACTGCTTCTCATGCGCGCTCTGCAGCACGAGGCTTACGAAGGGTGACACGTTCGGTATAAGAGATTCAGCTGTCTATTGCAGGTGAGTTGTGGTGACGAAATTGTTGCATAAAAGTTTGTTTGAACCGTCGAGCGCAACAGGGCTGATGTACGCATATTATAAACCTATATATTGGTCTATTTTATCTTGTATCAATTTTCATTTATGACTCGCTGTTGATAAGTTTGTAAAAATTTGCCACAATCTCATTCGTGTCCTTTATAACTCTTGACACTGGCAGAATGTTTTTATAAAATAAACACAATTAATTCATTTAAGCCATTAGTGAAAAAAAATGTATTAATAAATCTAGAAGCAGAGTAAGTTGCAAAGATTGTACGATAAAATCAACAGATGCTTGAAATATATATATTTTGCAGGCTACACTATGAAACTATGCCGGACTACGGCCCCCATATGGCGGTTCCAGGGCCTCCTCAGATGTGTCCAGGACCCTATCCAGGGCCCCCTCCTGGCTCTCACTACCCTCCATACCCGTCACCCGAATTCACACGAGTAGAGCACGATGTTCCTAAAGGCCCTTTCTTCAATGGTGCTGCAGCCCCTCCCCCTCGACAAAAAGGGCGTCCTAGAAAAAAGAAACCAAAAGACCAAGATATCATGACAGCCAACCTTGGTGAGTTGCGACACAATGTTACCCCAGCACACGCGAATTTTAAATTTTTACCCGCTATACTCACAATCTTCTTACCTACACTTTAGATGTATATGTACGAGTATATCAGTTAAACGATCTCAAGTATGACCCATATATTCAAACAAATTGAATATATTGATAAAATATAATACTTAACATCCTATAACTATGTATTTACATATATCATTTCATACGTAAAATTCAGTTCGGATTTGTTGACAAAACGATTACAATTTTATTAGCACATTAAAGTCAAAACTGCACTTACCTCAAGAGATTAGGTATCGGAGGCAACTTCCCGTGTATGAGTTTTATAAAAAGAAGATATTTCGCCTTTTTCGAGATATGGGAACCAGTCTCGTTTATCTGGCCAGCAGTATTCGGTCAACCGACTGCATGCAATGCATGAGTTTAGCTTAACGAACGGTGTGTTTTTTATCTTCCTACAATAAAACTGTCTTTTCTAAATATATCAGGAGAAGTTATTAATGACGGTTAGGTAAAAGATATCTTTATACAGGCATAGTTACAAACTTTAAATAAGAAAGCGTCTACACCTGAGTATAGTTCATACTTGATACTGATTATGATATTTAAATAATTTTATTAAAGTTAATTTTAAATGGATGAGGGAAAATGATTAGCGGTTTGATTGAGTGTAATGTGCTCAGTTGACGTAGAGAATGGCGGGTTGAGATAGATTCACTAGCGCGAGCAGGTCTCGTCTGCGGCCGCCCGGAGCTCGCGTGCCTGCAGTAATCGGAAGTTCATCATACCCTCCGCATTTCAATGAACCGACATCTTGCTAAGTGATATGGTTACGACATTCTACCAAAACCTTTTTTTATTTAATTTTTTATAGGCAATATACATCAGTTACAACTATTTAACTTGTTAAAAATGTGCACTTACAAGCAGGACACTATAATCAACTACACATTTCTATACAATACTCAAGTAAGAGTCAAGATAAAAATTATATTTTACAACTTCAGATATAACACCACAATTATCTAAATTAAACCATTTAGTCAATGAAGGTTATCGTTTGTCACTAAATGTAATTACAAATGTATTTTGTGGCTGTTACGAGATTTAAATGTATTTTTATACATATTTCTTATATTTTTTTCGTCGCTTTACGACATTGTGTAAAAATAGATATTTTTGCTTCTTCTATCGGCTTGTTTAGTCGGTTCTTATAATGGCATGAACAAATTTTGTTTTCGTTAAAAAAAAATCAAAAGTTCCTAAATATTATGAATATGTAGGTAGGTAGGTAGGTAGTAGGTACGAGTGTGTAGATGTATATATTCCTGGCGTAGTAGACGGGGAAGTAAATATAGACGAAAATTAAGTAATGGCTTACCTTTTGAATTCGGGTCAGCGATTTGATATGCTGCTGAGATATTTATTTATTTCTCAAAGTTATGTTGGTGTACCTAGTCTTTATTTATATGTAATACATGAGAGATATATTTTAAATAGTGAAACAAACAAAACCTAAACGTTTTTAATTTACAATTACGTATACCCAATTCTTTATAAAGAGTGATAAGATTTACAAAAGTTTAAGGTTTAAAGTTTTTAACTGAAATGCTAACTTTTATAATAATATTCTAGTTCGTACTGGTTTACTCAGTTAATACGATCAGGGGATTATTAGACAGTTATCTCATATACAACTTGTTCGGTAATTTAACGGGGCTTTAAAAGTATACAATTTGTTGCTTGTCTTGTTATATGACTGGTTGTTCAGTATTTGAAGTAATTAAATATGTGCTCATATTAGAACACGATCAAAATTTATGCATAATGCATGTAGATATATCATATTTAATTAACGTATATCCCGAGGGTGCGTCACCCCAAGCCGGGACGAAACCGAAACGTGAGTTTTTTCCCGTTACATGTATCTTGCCTATAAATATTGAAATGGTTTAGGGCGTTTTTATTTTTTATAACTATGCCAATTTGAGAAATAAGATTTTCAAACTTCATAATGTATATAATGGGTAAGAGCTTTATAGTCTTAATATGGGTAATACCTATAACTTAGATAATATGATACTTGACTTAAATGGATACTATGTATGTATGTATGTATTCAGCCCTTTTTAACGTCCCACTGCTGGGCACGGGCCTCCCTTCAATACGAGGGGGATCAGGCCATAGTCCACCACGCTGGCCAAGTGCGGGTTGGCGGACTTCACATGTCTTTCGAAAACTTGCTAGGTTCTCTCAGACATGCAGGTTTCCTCACGATGTTTTTCCTTCACCGTAAGGCAAGTGGTAATCATGTTAGAAATGATTCGCACATGAAAATATCAGTGGTGCGAGACCCGGGATTTGAACCCGCTTCACTCGGTTTCCCAAGCAAGCGCGTTACCACAGAGCTACCACTGCCTTTTAATGGATACTATACTAAATTTAATATTTAATCGCGTATTAATAATACCTATGAATTATTATGTCGTCTTCAAAATAATTTTTCAAATAAAATAATAAAATCTTCTGCAAAATATTAATATTAGATAAATAACGCAATGGAGCTAAAAGTCTGAATTTCAGGTAATGAGTCTTGCTGGCAACAACAATGTCTCTTTCCAATTATTCGGCGTTATTTTAGCACTGACCGGTGAGATGTCCCATATAAAATACCAGTCGCCCTTTTGGTCGGTTGAGTTTTTGCTATTGCAACCATTTTCGTGGATAGAGCCGGTTCCATCGCGGTCCTTTTTGCCCGCCTCAACAATTACGAGAGAACGTGGACTTACGTAACTTAACAGGTCGGCTTCGATCCTCCATATGTACACTTATATACCGAACTCAAACTAGGTATTGAAGTATGTTTGTGTCTTATACATTCCTTCGGCAATTTTAACCAATATAACCAATTATTAACAATGTGAGCTAGATAGCGTCTCCTCTATAATTTTTGTAAACAATATTTTTTGAAATAACGTATAAGTTATATAATATATAAAAACAACATAATTTTAGGAATTAAAAGGCGAATAGCAAATACGATAAGTTTTTTACGAATTCTTTGAAATATATGTATTATTCTTAGAAAGTTAGCTAAACTGCGGCGCATATATACATACAATATGTTATGAGTCAACCTAAGCAGAGAACAAAGTTAATCTATTGTTAATTGGCGGAGCCTGCCCATACATTGAGTGTTTGTATGTTTTAATACATACAAAAACGTCTAAAGTTATTAAAACAAAAAATAACTATACAGTATTTTTAATACATTGAAAGTGTTTGTAGCCTTAGTCTAGCCTCTCAAATAGATTACGCAAAAAAATTATAATTGCTCTTCAAGTAATGTACGTCTGAACGTTGACGTCACGTATACCTGTTATTATGTAGTAATTTCAATTTGCTTTTAGGGACATACAAAGTGGTACGCCCAGTTTTGAGGTATTTTTATAGTGTAATAATTGTTTTTGTGGTCAATAAGATAATTGCTGGGTAGCTTGTGTATTGCATACGTAATTTTTATTTGTTTATATGTTTAAAATTATATAATTTTTGACCGATTTCAAAAGAGGAGGGGTTACTTAATTCAGATGTATATATATATATATATATATATATATATACATATAGTATGTATATGTTCTCTGATAATACGCAATATTTTCGTTTTTAAACATTTAAAGTAATTTTGACTTTTTTTACTTTTTAGTATTAAATATATATTATGTGTCAATTAAAACGCTTATGTGTACATATTGTATATGTAAACGTTTCTTCGCAAGTTAGGCCGAGTTTGCATAGGTGTTGTGAAGCTGATTTCTTCGGCATGGTCGGCTCTCTTGGTCATTAATACTTTTGTCGTCGCGATTCAAAGTACCTATCCTAAAACAGGAAATGTGCCTAGTGCTTACGTTAAATCGATTGGTTTTTATCATGCCTTTTGAATCCGTCGATCTATATGTCACGATCATCGTGTTGAATTCAGTCCTACTTATTTTTCCAAATGGTGTGATAAGGTCGACTTGTTTTTCTAAGCATATCCAAAATAATCACTATTTATACGTTGCTTTAATTAGATCCAAATGAGACACTTTTTTTGTCTTGAAGTCAATAAATAAAAAGTATAATTTTGTGAAACATTAACTATTGCTTTTATGATGTCAATAAATATAATAATAAATAATAAAAAAAAAATAATGCGGATAAACGCTTTCTTGTAGGTATACATATTATTTAATTATTGCTAGACTTAGCCTAGGTCGAGTGGGCGGTATCGGCGTCTGTAGACGTTACACTATAAGTACAAAAATATCTCCGTAGTAAACAATACAGGCGCGTCCAGAGAAAGCGCTCAGAAAAAACTTAAAAAAAACACATTACTTCTTTCCGCTAATCTCTACGTCTAATACTGGTGTAATTGTAGCTGAAACATAAACTTATACATTGGTATTTACATAAACATTTGTGCAGGTAACTATTGTACATACCAACTGCAGTAATGAAATGTGACATAAATATTATACGACTAGCATTGCCCGCGGCTACGCCCGCGTTCAGAAGACCAAAAACTAAATTCTTAGGTTTTACATATTAGTATACTCTTACAATGCAGTTTTTGTATTTTTTCTCAGAAATGAGATAGTTTCCCGCGGTAAAAAGTATTCTATATGTTGACCCGGATAACCAGCTATCATCATACCAAATTTCATCAAAATCTATCCAGTGGTTTTCTTGTGATACGGTAACAGACAGATAGACAGACAGACAAAAATTCTAAAAACTATAGATTCGGACTCTGTATCGATAATAATGTCTATTTCAATTAGATTTCCCAAAAAATATTTAATATACAGATTCGACTTAGTTACAATTTTATTATATGTATGTATAGATAATGTGATGAATAATATACCTAATTATGAAATATGTGATGTGTATAAAATATTTAGGATTAAAAAAAAATATATTTATAATATTAACTTAGCCACAAA